CAATTTGCATACAGCCAAGTTGCCTGTCCAGTACAAGGGCTGGTCAGGAACGTGGACTTTTGCAGTCTATGATGATTATTCCATCCCCATGCTGTTGGGGGAAGACTTGGCCAATCATGTGAAGCAGGCCAAGAGGGTGGGAACGGTCACCCGCAGCCAGGCTAAAGAAGCCGTGAGGCCTAGCTTTGTTCCGGAAACTTCTATCAGGACCCGGTCAGAGGTGATGGACCCGGTCCCCAGGCCAATGTCTGCAACAGCAGTAGTGGATCCAGTCCCAGAGATCCAGACGGAACCAGTCCCAGAACCGGAACCAGCCAAACAACCAACACCAGACCCATTGCCAGCACTGAATCCAGTACTTTCAACCTCAACAACAGAGAGCCCCACCGAACCTGAACTGGCAGCAGCCGATAATCCTACACAAGAGGCTCATCCGGAGCCTGAATCCCAACATAGTGCACCTGCGGAGAGCGGTTCACCGTCAACAGAAACAGTTCCATCCCCTACATCGCTTCCAGAGGGACCAAGCCTAGGTCCACAATCCCATGAGGAACTGATGTCTCCAACATCAAGGGAACAGTTTCAGACCGAACAGGAAGCAGATGAAAGCCTCCAGAGAGCTTGGACGGCGGCACGGAGCAACCCACCGCCTCTCAGCTCTTCTAATCGATCCAGGTTTGTTGTAGAAAGAGGACTTTTATACAAGGAAACTCTTTCTGGTGGACACCAGGAAGACTGGCATCCTCAGAGACAGTTGGTAGTTCCAACTAAATACCAGGCCAAGCTCTTGAGCTTAGCCCATAATCACCCTAGTGGCCATGCTGGGGTGAACAGGACCAAAGACCGTTTTGGGGGGTCATTCCACTGGGAGGGAATGGGCAAGGATGTTTCTACCTATGTCCGGTCTTGTGAGGTGTGCCAAAGAGTGGGAAAACCCCAAGACCAGGTCAAAGCCCCTCTCCAGCCACTCCCCATCATTGAAGTTCCATTTCAGCAAGTAGCTGTGGATATTCTGGGTCCTTTTCCAAAAAAGACAGCCAGAGGAAAGCAGTACATACTGACTTTCATGGATTTTGCCACCCGATGGCCGGAAGCAGTAGCTCTAAGCAACACCAGGGCTAAAAGTGTGTGCCAGGCACTAGCAGACATTTTTGCCAGGGTAGGTTGGCCCTCCGACATCCTCACAGATGCAGAGACTAATTTCCTGGCAGGAACTATGGAAAACCTTTGGGAAGCTCATGGGGTAAATCACTTGGTTGCCACTCCTTACCACCATCAAACAAATGGCATGGTGGAGAAGTTTAATGGGACTTTGGGGGTCATGATACGTAAATTCGTAAATGAGCACTCCAATGATTGGGACCTAGTGTTGCAGCAGTTGCTCTTTGCCTACAGAGCTGTACCACACCCCAGTTTAGGGTTTTCCCCATTTGAACTTGTATATGGCAGTGAGGTTAAGGGGCCATTGCAGTTGGTGAAGCAGCAATGGGAGGGATTTACACCTTCTCCAGGAACTAACATTCTGGACTTTGTAACCAACCTACAAAACACCCTCCAAACCTCTTTAGCCCTTGCTAAAGAAAACTTACAGGATGCTCAAAAAGAGGAAAAAGCCTGGTATGATAAACATGCCAGACAGCGTTCCTTCAAAGTAGGAGACCAGGTCATGGTCTTAAAGGCGCTCCAGGCCCATAAAATGGAAGCATCGTGGGAAGGGCCATTCACGGTCCAGGAGCGCCTGGGAGCTGTTAATTATCTCATAGCATTCCCCACCTCCAACCAAAAGGCTAAGGTGTACCATATTAATTCTCTAAAGCCCTTTTATTCCAGAGAATTAAAGGTTTGTCAGTTTACAGCCCAGGGAGGAGACGATGCTGAGTGGCCTGAAGGTGTCTACTACGAAGGGAAAAGCTGGTGGTGTGGAAGAGGTGAACCTCTCCATGACCCTTGGGCATATGCAGCGACAGCAGATCAAGGAGCTGTGCACTAGGTACGCGCCAACGTTCTCAGCCACCCCAGGACTGACTGAACGGGCATACCACTCCATTGACACAGGTAATGCTCACCCAATTAGAGTCCAACCTTACCGGGTGTCTCCTCAAGCTAAAACTGCTATAGAACGGGAGATCCAGGATATGTTACAGATGGGTGTAATCCGCCCCTCTGGAAGTGCATGGGCATCTCCAGTGGTTTTAGTTCCCAAACCAGATGGGGAAATACGTTTTTGCGTGGACTACCGTAAGCTAAATGCTGTAACTCGCCCAGGCAACTATCCAATGCCATGCACAGATGAACTATTAGAGAAACTGGGATGGGCCAGTTTCATCTGGTAGAGATGACATCATCTAAGTCATCTCTACCTTGGACTTAACCAAGGGGTATTGGCAGGTACCGCTAGATGAATCTGCCAAGGAAAGGTCAGCCTTCACCACACATCTCGGGCTGTATGAATTTAATGTACTCCCTTTCGGGCTCCGAAATGCACCCGCCACCTTCCAAAGACTTGTAGATGGTCTCCTAGCGGGATTAGGAGAATATGCAGTCGCCTACCTTAATGCTGTGGCCATATTTTCAGATTCCTGGGCAAACCACCTGGAACATCTACAAAAAGTCCTTGAGCGCATAAGGGAGGCAGGACTAACTGTTAAGGCTAAGAAGTGTCAAATAGGCCTAAACAGAGTGACTTACCTTGGACACCAGGTGGGTCAAGGAACTATCAGCCCCCTACAGGCCAAAGTGGATGCTATCCAAAAGTGGCCTGTCCCAAAGTCAAAGAAACAGGTTCAATCCTTCTTAGGCTTGGCCGGTTATTACAGACGATTTGTACCACAATACAGCCAAATCGCCGCCCCACTGACAGACCTAACCAAACAGAAACAACCAAATGCTGTTCAGTGGACCAAAAAGTGTCAGAAGGCCTTTAACAAGCTTAAAGCGACACTCATGTCTGACCCTGTACTAAGGGCCCCAGACTTTGACAAACCGTTCCTAGTAACCACAGATGCGTCCGAGCGTGGTGTGGGAGCAGTTTTAATGCAGAAAGGACCTGATCAAGAATTCCACCCTGTAGTGTTTCTCAGCAAAAAACTGTGAGAGGGAAAGCAACTGGTCAGTCACTGAAAAAGAATGTTACGCCATTGTCTAGGCTCTGGAAAAGCTACGCCCATATGTTTGGGGACGGCGTTTCCACCTGCAAACCGACCATGCTGCACTGAAGTGGCTTCACACTGTCAAAGAAACTAACAAAAAACTTTTTCGGTGGAGTTTAGCTCTCCAAGATTTTGATTTCGACATCCAACACATCTCAGGAGCTTCTAACAAAGTGGCTAATGCACTCTCCCGTGAAAGTTTCCCAGAATCAACTGGTTAAAATCGTCCTTGAGATGTGGAAAATATTGTTAGTCTTTATGTACGTGGTAGTATATTTAGAGATGCATGTGTCTTATTACCTCTGTTTTTCCTAGAGCTCCAGGAAGAAATCCCAGCCAGTGTTTCACCCTAGCTGAGATTTGGGGGGCATGTCATAAATATAAAGGGAAGGGTAAACCCCTTTAAAATCCCTCCTGGCCAGAGGAAAACTCCTCTCACCTGTAAAGGGTTAAGAAGCTAAAGGTAACCTCGCTGGCACCTGACCAAAATGACCAATAAGGAGACAAGATACTTTCAAACGCTGGGAGGAGGGAGAGAAACAAAGGGTCTGTGGGTCTGTCTTTATGCTGCCTTTGCCGGGGATAGACCAGGAATGGAGTCTTAGAACTTTTAGTAAGTAATCTAGCTAGGTACATGTTAGATTATGATTTCTTTAAATGGCTGAGAAAAGAATTGTGCTGAATAGAATAACTATTTCTGTCTGTGTATCTTTTTTGTAACTTAAGGTTTTGCCTAGAGGGATTCTCTATGTTTTGAATCTAATTACCCTGTAAGGTATCTACCATCCTGATTTTACAGAGGGGATTTCTTTACTTCTATTTACTCCTATTTCGATTAAAAGTCTTCTTGTAAGAAAACTGAATGCTTTTTCATTGTTCTCAGATCCAAGGGTTTGGGTCTGTGGTCACCTATGCAAATTGGTGAGGCTTTTTACCAAACCTTGTCCAGGAAGTGGGATGCAAGGTTTTGGGAAGTATTTTGGGGGAAAGACGTTTCCAAACAGCTCTTCCCCAGTAACCAGTATTTGTTTGGTGGTGGTAGCGGCCAATCCAAGGACAAAGGGTGGAATATTTTGTATCTTGGGGAAGTTTTGACCTAAGCTGGTAAAGATAAGCTTAGGAGGTTTTCATACAGGTCCTCACATCTGTACCCTAGCATTCAGAGTGGGGGAGGAACCTTGACATGTGACCTCAACCCTAGAACAGAAATCTCCATTGGTACGTTGCACCTGCTGGATGAGTGTTTTTTAAAATTTAATCTTCCTTTTGATTTGAATGTTATAGCATACTTGCAGATACTGGAAGAAAAGATGTGGTTCATACTAGGGCTCAACTAGGGGCAAGGTCTAAATGGCCTAGTAAGTCTTCTACATCTCTGAACTATTTCCCTTCATTACATCAAATTACCTAGTATCTGTGCAGTCACCACAGATTGAATAGTACTTTACACACAGAGCAGGAAGAGAACCAGAACATCCATAAAATAATCCCTCACTTAGGGTTAAATTTACTTCTGTTCAGACTTATGCACCATTTAAGTCTCAGTTAATTTCTATTTTCAGGGCTTAAGTGGGATTTAAATAGTCCATATGCCTTGTGCTGGGCCTTTGCACAAAGATAAATTTCATCCATTCAGACTCATAAGAATAATACAGTTAAAACAACACCAGTTCACTTGAATAGCTTTTTAACAGAATGTAACATGGCTGCTATAGAAGTAGCTATTTGCTGCGTTTGTTTCCCCCCAATACCAGTACACCCATGAAGATGCACATTTCTTCTTCTTTAATGATTTCTGATGTCAGTTCAGAGATTGCTCATTTATTTGACCTTCTGTTTGTTTTGCGCCAGGGTGAATGTTCTCAGAAGTGCTATTACATCTTTGTCATCGAGACCATCTGCGTGGCTTGGTTCTCGCTGGAGCTCTGCCTCCGATTCATTCAGGCGAAGAGCAAGTGTCACTTCTTCAGAGGCCCCCTAAATATAATTGATTTCTTGGCTATTTCACCCTATTATGTTTCCCTCATAGTGGTAGATGACGAGCCAAGTGAGGAGGCTGAGAGGCCGAGCAGCAACTCATATTTGGAGAAGATTGGACTGGTGCTACGAGTCTTACGTGCCTTGAAGATCTTGTATGTAATGCGCCTTGCCAGGCACTCCTTAGGCCTGCAGACTTTGGGGCTCACGGTTCGAAGGTGCACCCGAGAATTTGGCCTGCTTTTGCTCTTTTTGTGTGTAGCTGTCACCCTGTTTTCTCCCCTGGTCTACTTGGCTGAGAATGAATCTGGGAAGGTCCTTGAATTTACAAGCATTCCTGCCTCATACTGGTGGGCTATCATCTCAATGACCACTGTGGGATATGGAGATATGGTACCAAGAAGTGTCCCAGGCCAGATGGTGGCTCTGAGTAGCATCCTCAGTGGGATTCTAATTATGGCTTTCCCAGCAACCTCGATATTCCACACTTTCTCCCATTCCTATTCAGAGTTGAGACAACAACATGAAAGATTACAGTCCCAGCTAAACAGGATAAAAAGCACCAATCACTCCGGTGAAACTGATACCTTCAATGAGTCAGACAGTTTGACTTCAGAGGCGCCAATGTCGCCGATTAAGTACATTTACAGAGGAAACTAAGGCTTGCTGCAAAATGTCTTTAAGTACATGAATAAAGCAAAGCAACAACATGTGACTTACCATGTGCAATGCAATTGCTGAAATGGGTATAATAAATTGACCAAGCCAAATGGAGTCTGACAATACATCACTATGGACTTAGTCTTACATCACTTTGACTAAGGAAGTCAAAGGTCAGGGGTTATTCAACAACAGATATTTATTAAGCACTACCATTCTCTTCTTATTGATAAAACTAATGATAAAGTCCAACTTTGTCTATATCATAAAAAATATCCAGCTGAATCCCTAACACTGAATGAGTAGCAAGCAGAATTTTGCTGACCTAAATAACAATTGTTCTTTTGTTTGCCTTTGAGTTTCCAGTGTTCTTTGCAATTAACAACTGGAGCCAAGCATTAGAATGGATTCTTGTAGGGCTACGCATCATTGCCCTTTTTACAATGCTCATCAATTGGTATATAAAAGAGTCCTTGATATCAATACATATCTATATCCAAAGGCACCAACAAGCTAAAATAAAAGTTTTTAAAGCTCGTTCTGCAATTACATGATCTATCTATAAGTAAAGAATTGCACTGCTACTGTAAATGATTTACATAATCCCATAAAAGACTTTGGTTAAAATGCAATTTCAATCTGCCATCTGTAAACATTTCACACTAGATACAAAAAGTTTTCAGGCTTTTTTCTTACATGTACTCGACTCAGATAATGACGAAAGAATTAAAAAAGCTTAGTGACTAAAAGAGAGGAATCAATGTTATCCTGTTTATTGGAGTGTGATGGTGTGTCACCATGTAAGAAAGGTTAAAAATAAATCTGGCAGACATGATAGCACTCTGATATTGATGCCCTTTGAATATTTAGAAACAGTGAAATGAATTATTTAGGATGGGACAATAGGTGTAGTTAGGAATGAGGGGATTAAACAGAAAAGGGTTTGGTTGAATATCAGGAAACATTTCCAGAAAGGTATTTGGTTTGGTTTCCTACAGAAAATTGTGGACACGTCACTTGAGACATTTAGATCCAGACAGGTCAAGGCACTAGACAATGTAATAAGCCGCAATGTTACCTCATGGGATAATCTAGATGGCCTAGACAGTTTTTTTGCAATTCTAACTTCTTAGATGCTCTGAATTAAATTAATTGGGACCTAATGTAAAGTGTGGGGCCTAACTTTATGAACTAACGCCTGAGTTCAGCATGGTACTTACATGTAGGGCTTGTCTACACAATGAGTTAGTACTCAGCAAGCTGGGGCATAAATTTACAGCACGCTAGAATGCCTCACACTAACTGTCCACGTAGGCCCTAAAAGTTCCCTAGTGTGTTTGACCTTTTGCTGTTGCACAAAGCACCCGAGGGAACTTTTGGTGCATGGTAGCAGTGTCCACATGGCCAGTACACCCTAGCTTGCTGTGCACTAACTTGTCCTATAGACATTCTCATAGGCTTCAATGGGACTAGTCTCTTAGCTAACGTTAAGTACATATTTAAGTACCTTGCTGAATCAAAGCCTAAATTAATTAAGTTTCAGACCTGACTGGCAGTCTAAATTATTGTGTTTTTTAAAATCTTACTAAAGTCCCACGAAAGTGAATATTATGGTCCAAATTTTCAAAGGGCTGTGTTATATATGCACCACTGCAAAGCTCCAATCTCACACTGTACTTTGCAGGACAAAGCCCCAATGCATTCACATTCATTGTAAACATATAATTGTTCAGGAAATTGCACATGCAATCACCTTATTTGCACATACAAACGTGCAAATACAGTGTTATGTGACTGCAATGGGTGTTTACACATTTTGTGTGGCTCACCCTTCATATGGATATTTGAGAATTTGTATTTATCCTAACTGCCTCATTGTTTATAAATAGTAAACCACAACCAGGATTATTTATCATTGCAATGAGCTGAGAGAGGGTTACATGACTTGGAATTATGTCCTGTATTGTCTGGTGTTTGACCCTGTGACCTAAAACAAAGAAAACTCAGCAGGTCAGAGATCTGATGCTCCAACATAATCAGGGCATGAAGATACTGTATTTGAGGCATTTAAACTTATTTCACACACTGAACCAAATTCTGCCCTATTTTTTACCTCTATCCACCTGATTTCTATCTGTAACTAAGCTAACCCATATTGTCCTACCTGCCAGCAAGTCTTTAAAGCACTGGTCCCCAAACTGTGAGGGGCATGCGGCAGAGCCTGGGCCAGCATCCCCTGCTCCGGCCACAGTTTCGCTCTGCCCCCTGCCCAGCTCTGCCCTCATTCCCTCTCCACCCCCAGGCCAGCTCCGATTCTAACACCAGCTGTTCCTCCATCCCCAGTTCAGCCCCCAGCTCTGCCTTCAGCCCAAGCTCCTCTGCTGAGCCAACTGTGCAATAAGGGAGGGGGACGCAGACAGATTCCATTATTGGTAAGGGGGGGCCTGACAGGAAAAGTTTGGGCACCGTTGCTTTAGAGTATATACCTCTGTGAAATACACATTTACATTAAAGCATTGGTATTCTCTGGAAACATATATAATTAGTCAATGCCATTGATTTTCTTTCTTAAATTAGTAGTTTTTATCGGTTTAAGAATTATTTCAACGTGATCAAGTGCATAACCAGCCCAGCAAAATTGTTCTAAAAAAATTAAATAACCAGATAAGTGCATGGCCTTTTTGTTGATGTCAAGTGTCGTATCGGTTTAATTTCTGATGCGTCCTTTGTCAAGGGGCTATATCATGCTCAGTCAACGGTCCCAATGAGCTAAGCCTCAATTCAGCACTTAAGCACACAGGTAAGTCCTACTGAAGTCAATGAAGTATACATCTGTTGAACAGAAGTAGGGATTACTCGCATGATTCCGCTGAAGCGTGTGTTTCCATGCTAGGGCCTTAAGATACATTTCTATCTCTAATTGATCTCATCCTATAGCTTGGTCTGGGCTGCACTGGCTTCCATTGAAATTGGCCTTCATGATTCACTGTGTTAGTAGAAAGAAAAAAAAATGTGTTGAAAGGAACATTTAGTGCCTGTATAATTCAGTCTAGTAATGAATTCAGTACAGGCAGTTACAATTAACGGATGTTGTTGCTGCCAAGTACATATCATTTCATAACCAGACTTATGAATAGTTGAGGTACCTGACGTTCAGCTGCTCTTAGTTTCAGCTCTGTTTTTTCCCCTCAGCTAAACCTCAGAAACAGCAATCAGCAGCACTGAGAAATACGGTCTATTATCAAGGTATGGACCATAATTTTAGCTCTTACTGATAGCATCACATTCCTTTTAAAGCACAGGCCCTCTCTGTCTCTGGGGTCAACCTGCTGCTGGGTCATAGCTGGGTCACAGGGTTCCCCTTCCAAATCCTGCTCATGCTTCCATGTTTGGGGAGACTGGAAGAGACCTCATCCTGCAAGCCAGCTATTGATTCCACACATGGAGGGCAACACACAGAGACTAGTCTGGCTCCTGCTTCAGATTTGCTGCCACAGCAACTGCTGAAAGAGGAAGCGAAATAGTTGGAGACAATGGTGACCAAGCGAAATGGTTGGAGAGTACAATGTAGGGGCTTCAGTGAGAAATTGACACAATCTGAAGGATCCCTCAAGATATTAATTAGAGATGGATCAAAACAAGGATCATAGACCCTCACCTGCTTTTGAACTTTGCTGGAGTTTGGATTTGGATTCCCTGAACAAAACCCACACACTAGTGTACTGGTTCCAGGTCAGACCTCCAGGATCTTATTTTTCTATTTCATTGCAGCTGCCCCAGAAATTTCACCAGACCAGTGCTTCATTCTCCTAGTGCGAATACAAATTACAGCTGTTTGAAAACCACCATTTTATTTTCCTTTCAAAAATTTGCAGAAGAATGTTTGCCAGTGTGGGTTTGCACTTCGAATTTCAGTGTGTGCTTATATTTGCATCAAAAATATAAATTTCCACATGTTTTCAGTGCAAAGACCATTTTATCTTGGCAACAGGCCTGTTTTTCTCGAAAACATCCATTTTCATTGAGAAAAAGGGAATCATTCTGCTATGGGTACTGCTTTGAGAACTTGCATATAAATGGTCTCATAAATAAATAAAAGTGTTTTGAATTTTATTATAAATATTTTTCCACCTTAAATTAATGCATATAGAGCAGTGTTGCCTAGTGGATCGAGGGCATCACCTTTGTGCCTCAGTTTCTCCATCTATAAAATGCAGCTAATGAGACTGATCTTTGTAAATCACTTTGCAAGTTATTGATAAAAACTATATCTATATAAGAGCTAGGCATTATGATTATTATATTTTATTTTATTGTATGTATTGTTATTATCATAACATCATTAGCAAAACTCCCACTGACTTCACTGGTGGAGGATTTTGTTAGCTTAGTTTTTTGTTGGGTGTCATGGAATCTGCTACAGCTTAACAGCTATCTTCATTGTACAGCCTGAGGTTTGTATCCCACACACTAGCATGCATATATAATTAAGGATACAGGGTTTAATATTTAACTCAGATAAATTCATCAGTGCGATTAGTGTGATAGTCTGATGAATTCTGTTACAATTTACTCCTGAATGTACTGCATAATTTAATCATGAATCAGACAGCAAAGTGAAGCAATTTAGGTGCACTCAGTATTGTTATTTCAAACTTTATTAATTAAGGGAGAATTATACATTTCTGCTGAATAAAATTGACTAAGCACCCTCAACTAAATCTTATTCATAATGAATTGTGCATAATGAATTCTGATTATTATGCAGTAAATTATTTTAAAGCTTGATACTAACCTTTAAATACAGATGAAGACATAAGAATATTCATGAAAATGAAAATGAAAACGAAAACAAGTTCTCTAATCGGCTGAGAGAAAGTTTTAGTCTCCTAACACTAGTGATTTTTCTTAATCACTCATTAAAATAAAACAAAGAGTGAAGATTTACTGTGTAATATTCATTTTCTAATCAGTCATAGAAGGTGAAAGGCCAGATAATTCAGCCCAGCTCCCTGCTAATGCATGATTGTTCCTTATGCTACGTAAGCTACTGTTCTGTCCAATCTAGTTTTAAATATCTCAGATGACAGGGCTTCCACTATTTCCCTTAGAAGATTATTGCACAAGCTTAATACCAGAATCACAGAAGTTACAGATGGAAAAGACCTATTAATTCTAATAATATATGAATAATACTGAACATTTTTAACATACACACTTGTATCTTTTCTGGCCTCTCTTTTGAGAGAGTCAGGTGGGTTTTCCCTGTAAGCAAAGCACAAAAACTAGGTAAAATAGTACTCTTTGTTTCTAGGCAGGTAACATTTATCTATCTTGATTTCTACTATTTCATTGTATGTAAGTGTTCACCACATAGTGGACAAAATTTTCAGCTTATGGGTGCTGTTCATTTGTTCTATTCATTTTTTGCAGTGTTAGGATTGGTCTCCTAAATTACATAGCATTTTTTTTTCTGGGTGACTGAAACGTTTTAATCAGCAGAATGAAGAATGAAGAACAAAGAATGATTTGTAAACAGACTTGTTTGTCCATAGGCACCTGTGTATGTAAGCAAAGAGGAGTATTGGTAGGAAGAACAATGCTTCCCTAAATTGCAAACAAATGTATTTTTTCACAAATAGTGATTTTTTAAGATGTACAAACATCATCAAACAAAAATATTCACTCAAATTTTGAATGGCTGTTTGCAAAATTTGACCAAGCCCTATTCATAAGACATCATCCATGGATTCTGAAAATACATATGCATTTAGGAAGGCATCTATGAGGAAGCAGATTTCTCTAGATTCGGTCACTCTGGTGTTATATATGAAAAGTTTTATTGAGGTCTCTTCATTAATGCCGTCTCACGATGAAAACACAACCTTCTTCCAGCTGGCCATTGTACAGGATCCTTTATACATGTACT